TCAGGGAGTGTAGTGAGAGGATGAGGGGGTAACAGTTCTAAACTGAAGGAGGGCAGATTTAGATTAGATATTAGGAAGAAATATTTTTCCTATGAGGGTGGTGAGACACTGGAACAGGTTGCCCAGAGAAGTTGTGGATGCCCCATCCCTGGAGGTGTTCAAGGCCAGGCTGGATGAGGCTTTGAGCAACCTGGTCTAGTGGGAAGTGTCCCTGTCCATGGCAGGGGGGTGGGAACTAGATGATCTTTAAGGTGATCCCTTCCAACCCAAACCATTCTCTGATTTCCTGCTGGTGTCTCTGCAGTTCTCTTGTTCCCCTTACCTGCATGAAAACTACTTGCATGATTTCTTTTAACTCCCTAACTGTGACAAAATCTGTATATATTTTGGCTTGTTCTCTGTAAACACTGACCAGATTGTAGTGTATAGAATAAGGCTGGAAATTTAGATATAAGGCATTGTTGTGGGGTTGTGGTGAAAGAGGGCGCACAAAAGGCAGCATGCCCTCAATAACTTTTCAATCATGTGAGTGGCAAGTGCTTTTCTTAAGCATAATCTTGGTTCAGTGTGTGATAACTCGCCTTACTGATGAAAGGACTTTGAACTTTGTACTTTCTTCACTTCCGCATCTGGTGGACAACCTCAGAGTCCTTTCTGAAGTAGACTTCTAGGAGATAAAAAATTATAAACAAGATTTGGTAAGAAGTGATCATTGCATGATGTTTAGGAAATTTGAGTTTTGAATGTTTGGTAGCTTCTTCCATGCATGTTTAAAAATGGGTTGTTTGTTTTTTTTTTTTTTTTTTTAACCCCATGTATTTTTTTTTTTTTTTTTTTTTTTTTTTTTTTTTTTTTGCTTCCCCCAACAGCTGGCTTGCCCCTTGGTGTTCTAAACTTGGCCAAAATAAAACCGTATCAGAGAGGCTTTTTCTGTAATGATGACAGCATCAAGTATCCGTTCCATGACAGTACCATCACATCCACTGTCCTCTACACAGTGGGGTTCACCCTGCCCATTTGCTCTGTAAGTAGCTAATATATAGGGAGCTTTGGTGATGGGAGTAAAATGTATGCCTTCCAAGAGTTCAGCACTGGGACTGGGAGTTGAAGACAGTCTATGTAGGCAAAATCCCATATCTGTATGGTCATATGCATGTGAAAGGTGCCATTGCTACTTTTTGTTTGCACAGAAAATCTGGAACTAATCTCTAACTGCTAGTATCACTAATCTCATTTGTTTCAGGAGCAGAAAAAATACAGAGATGAGGATTTAAACTGTATTAGTTAGTCTAGGCTTTTATTATCATTGGGGAGAAAAATGCTACAGGCTTCCAAAACACTATGCAATAAATACTTCTTTTCTTCAGAATGGGTTAGTCTAACTTAAACATTTGTAATGTTAAAACCCGCTCTGTAGCGGAGTGCACAAACCTGTAACTGATGATTGTTGCTTCCATAACCTTTCTACAGAAATAAGTCTAATTTGGAGTCTGGGTCTTGTTAGGTTTAAAAACAGGTGATGATTATTTAAACCCTTCAAAATGGGATACAGAGGCTGAAAATCTAGTTGCTTGTAGAAAAGAGGCTCAGTGTTTTCAAGACCACATTATTTTTACAAAAAAACAATTTAACTCTTCAGTAGGTTTTTCTAACAATATTTTAAGCCTGATTGCATCCAAGTTTTTAGTAAGGTTTTTAGCTGGTTCAAAGAACCAAAACTTAACTATTCAGAAGAGTTCTGAACCTGGAACTACTGAATCTTGTTGTTTCTGCCTGTAGTAGTTGACCGAACTGTATTAGAGGTGGTCATAGTCTTTGGTCTTCTGATCGATGTATATGCTAAGCTAATCAGTAAGAAGTAAACTGGTTTAAGGATGGAAGCAGTCATTTAAAACAAGTAAACAGAAATCTGTGGAACATCTACATGCACTACTCTTCTTTTCCCTTAAATGCTTATTTGTGAAAGATTGCATTAGTCCTATGCAGTAAACAGAAAACAGTTATCGTTAGTATAGTTTAACTTTTGAGGAAGATAGTGTGAAATTTGTCATTTTGACATGTACTGACATATGTCTTCAGCACAACTTCAGGAAAATTTCTTTTCCTGTAGGGTTCATATGTACCTGAATTGATAATGTGCACAGGTGAACTGGCAATTACAGCTCTGTGCAATTTTGTACTTCTAAAGAGGCATGTCAGTTGCAGTTAGATAATCTGTTGAATTGCTTGATTTTTTTATCTTCCATTTTTAGATTCTAAGAAGTTGTTCCTGTAATAGAAAGTCAATTGAGAGTGCATTTTTTTTTCTATCTCTAAAGCAGTGGAGAAACACGTAACTTGCAGCTAACTTACTTAAAAGTATAAACATCTAAGGAGTGGTATGGACAGCTATTGTAACCTTAACTGCCAAGCTATCTAAAATTATAACTTAGAATTTGACTTGTCAGTGATTCCAGTCTATTTGATATTTTTCTTCTATGATACTTTTGTAGGATTCACACAGTGAATTTTTAATGACTGTCTGTGCAGAGGATTGGAGTATGTAATTGGAATAATCACTTCTGGCCTCCATGCTGAGATAGGTTTAAAAAAAAATAAATTCTGAAGCACTTACAGTTCTGTAACAACAATACAGGCTATCCAGATCAGTGTTCTTCGGTTTGAACATTTTACAAGCTTTAAAGTAATACAGGTTTTCAGGAATCTGGTAAGAAGGAATCACTGTAGTGTGTAACATGTTAACTACATAGAGTAGTAACTGGGTTTTGTAGTCTCAGTTTTAGATATAGGGAGTTCTTTAGCCTAATGCAAGAAGTGAAAAATCATTTATGGCTGCTGAAAACTTAAAGCTAGGATGAACTGAACAGCTAGGGAGTATGATGAGATCTGGGTTCTAACAACTCACTGAGTTAAAAGTTGGGTTCCAGTTGAATGCTTTCTGGCTTCAAGCTTGCCTTTATTTGAAGGGACAGTGAAAGTTGATCATTCTGGGAATAGAAGAATCTGACGTTCAGACTGGTTTTTGTTTTGGTCTGACTCAATGGAGGCTTGAGAGTTTTTCCAAGGTAGCTCAAGTTTTCAGAACTGGTATATTCCAGAGTCAGTATCCTCAGCAGGGACACAGATGTCTCATGAAAACTTACTGGGCAGTAGTACTGATTATCCCACATTTAGTGAAATGTTATCCTGACATAAAACTTGCCTGAAAGGAACAGGCTTCTCAATGAAGGAATTGATGGTAAAAATTCAGTGAAATACTATGCAAATAAGAGTTGATGAATTGCACTTTTGTGCAAACTTTTCTTCTCTAATCAAAGACTACCTTGAACAGGTTACTTGTTCCTAAGTAGGACTTTTACCTCAGCTTTGTCCCATGACAAAATGGAAGAACTTGTCATAGGAAGCTAAGGGAAGCAAAAGGAATCATATCTGCAATGTAGAGGGGAAAAACAAGTGAGTAATTGAGTAGCAGTAGAGTGGTTGCAGCCTTTCCACATAGCCTTCAACAACGTAGGCATTGCTGATCCAGTTATTTAGTTCTCAGTCCCTAAAGCCTGATGCAGTCTAAACAGAAATGCTCATAATATTATTATGCAATGTGTCTCTTGCTGCACTAACAGCTTGCTTGTGTTCAGACTGCAGTAAGAAATGGCCTGAACACCTTGCTCTATGATAATAAAAGGTCTCGTCTGGTTCAGTTGTTGGGGTAGGCCCATAGTGGAGTATAAAACAACTTCAAAGGAAAAAAACCCCAAAACCTGCAGTAATGCATTAAGGTGTAGATATTTCATTGTTAAGAAGTCTCTTTGTGCATAAAAGAGCCTAGGCTGCCTCAACGTAGATTTGTCTTCAGAACATTTTTTGAAGATTTGCAAGACATGTAAGAAACTCTCAGGGATCTTCTTTAAAAAAGAAAGAAAAAGGCTGCTCCTAAATTTCACAGTTCCATTTATAGCTCTGAACTCTTTCTTTTCCTATTGCCACCTTTTATCAGGAAATAAAATGTCTGGGAAAGAAACTCATGTTTATTCTTTTCCAAGTGCTACTTCACAGTATGATACTTCTCAATTTCCCAAACTGGTTTCTGTGTCTGTGTGGAAAGCACTATTTTTGTATTAGAATTTTTGGAGACCTAAGGTCAAAACAAGCCTTGTCAGTGCTCTGGAAAAATGAAACTCTTAAGATGTCAGGGTTAGTGTCTGGAGCAGCATACCTGCATGATGACTGACGTTTCAAGAACCGCAGAAGATCTTTTTGATAATTCTACCTTGCCAAGTCTTTTTAGAGATGTTTAGAAAGTAGTTCTCAATAGTGTGAAAGCCATGACTTGTTAAGGGGTAGTGTGTATGGATGGCACCTCTAGGAATATTTTGAAATTAATCTCTTGAGATGTACTTGGTCTGGCATTTTTGGTCTTTAGCTGTCTGCATGAGATCAGCTCTTCCAAGTATAAATCACAAGTTACTGTCAGTGACTTTCTCTTGCAGTGAGGTCCAACCATGCCTATTTGTATGTGTTATTCAGTTGGTCTTTTCTGGTGACTTCAGCTCCGAATCAATCTTCTCTTTCTCCAGTCATCTTGCTTCTAACAACTGCTGCCTTCAGTGACGCTCATACAGCTTCTCTTAAGATCTAACGGTAGGTGCAACTGGGGTAAGGAGAAGCACAGAGCATAGGAGGCCTCTCTGAAGCATTCTTCTCGACAAAGGAGCAGAAGAACATAGCAACTCAATAAATAGCTGCTGAGTTTTGTCTGCTCCTGTGCTAGGTAGGTTCTGAGCAGGGTTTCTGTAGTTCCCTACCAAAGCTTTGCCTTGGCTGCTCTGTTCAGGAACTGAAGGGACACAAGCACTGGTGAGTTCCTGTATCATGGACTGATTTGTGACAGGACATGAGTTCAGTTCTTCTAACTCGGCCAAAGTGCCACACCGCGTTTCTGGGAAACAGAGTATTTCACCACAACTTTGGCTTCTAAAACAGGTACTTCAAATGCTGATGTTCCTGGCAGGAGAGGTGTTCAGTAGTAAACAAATTTTTGAGTAAGTCACTTTCTAGCGTGAGCTCTGCTGTTCGGGACTTCTTTGAGAAAAAGGAATGTTATGGGCCTGTAGGACTTAATTTCTCCACCTTGAGCACATCCAGAGGACATTTAGGTGGTCAGGTTAAATTGTCTTCTACTTCAGAAAACAAAATCAGAACATTCCTAGTTTGATTTGGCAGAGGCTAATGTCTTCAGGATCATGATGCCTTCCCAAAAGGGACCTGCGTAGCCTTGCTCCTGTGCCAGCTTTGACCTATTAGGCCTTGGGCTTAATGTTTTTGGAAATGTTTCCTGCCATGTGTGTCAATGTTCTGACTGTAACTTTTCCTTCCTACAGATTAGCACAATCATACTTTGGAGGCAACATACTGACTAATTTTCTGCCAAAATAAACTAGTCTTTTATGCACTACATTTAGCAGGGGAACTTGTACTGAAAGCACCTCTTTGGTTAACAACATAAGCACTTACTGGCTAATTCATATGTTTCTGGAGGGACAAATGTAGCTACTGCTGTGGTAGAGACTGATAAAGCAGGGGACTGTATTGAAGCCTGTTGAAGACTGTTAGATTGGTAGATGTGTACTTTTTTGCAGAGGTGTCAAAGCTTTATGGCTCACTGATAGTTGTGCAACTAATTGAAATTAAACTTGCTGTTTGACACTAAAGTGGACTTCAGCATCCTTTAACTTTGAGGTTTCTGGTCATGTATTAATGACCAGAATTATGCACTGAAGAAGACTTTGCCTCGTATCTGGTAAACTCTGAAAAGGAGAGTAATGTTTTATTTTTTTTTTTTTTTATATTCATGGCACTGTAAATCTTTCTGGGCAGTGCTGTTGAACTTCATAAGCTGGCATGAGTTCTACTTGATACTAACTGTTCATTTTGTACTACCACAGATGAGTATCATCTCTGAACCCAAGCTTATTCTGAGGAGTAAACTACTAATTTGTGTTTGTTCAAACTCTGTTTAAAACCAGC